TTAAATTTTTTTAATTAACTTGTTACGTTAACTTTTACTTATTTATGTTAAGATTTTAAATTTAGTTATTCTACCTTTACGAGTTTTGATGTCAATTTTTATTGCTTTACGTTAAGAATTTTTAATCATAACTTTTAAAAACTTTATATTTAAGTTTTTTAATAACCATTTTAAATTACATATGTGTTTATTTTTATTATTATATATTTTTAATTTTAACTTTTTGATTTATATATAAAGGATTAAAAGGTGATTATTTTTGGTAATTATGAAATTTCAACCAATAATAAAAGAAATGTAAATAAATGATTTCTATTAATAAAATATAAAAAGAGTCCATCAAAAAAAATTTTTATTTATCAATTAAATTAGTTTATCAATTTATTTACAAATTTTAAATCAGTAATTTAATTTTATAAATTTGATAATTTTTATTAATTAACTTTACAATAAAATTAATGACTTACTGCAAAATTTACCCTTCACCGGTCCTTTTCAACAAATTGCCCTAAGATTTCATTTTTTTTTAAGAATTATATATAGGAAAAAAAGAAAAAGTTAATTACCACTGACAACTCTTCAGGAGCAAGTTTCTCTCTCCTCTGAAACCCCAGCTGCTCATTTTCGTAGGCAAGGATTATATTGTTGAACTCCATGGTTGGAACAGGGTTTGAGGAGATCGATCCCAAAGCTTTTTCTAGTAGTAGTTCGTCGATGGAGGACTTTGGGGAGCCAAATTCCGATTGGACGAACTCCGATCATGGTCTTGAAGAATTTTGTAAGTTTTAAATATTTCCCATTTTATGCTTATCTATTTGTTGATAGCTTTTATTTAATTTTACGCTTGATTTTCAGAAACTGAGATATTTTTTAATCCACCATTCTCTTTCCAATCGAGAACTTTCCGCTTCTCCCACAATTTATTTTCAGTTCCAAAATCGCCTTTCAATTCGTAAAGATATTTTTTTTTTGGAATTCTTTTTGTTTTTGTTTTTAATTCTTTTTTATATATAAATGTTTATTTCAATGAAAATTTTAATTTTTTTCTTTGGAGCATGATGCTTTATCTCTTTTGTTCTGTTAGAATTAGTGAAGAGGGTATCATATGATAAGATCGATAAGCGTAACCGATTATACATGAATTATAATAATTCTAGCATGATCTGATCACATCTGCGCCTATCAAAAGTATAGATCTTGGTTTTTTTTTTTTTCTCTTTTTCCCCAAATCTTAATTTCTATGATCTTGTTATGAAATCACAAAAGCCTCTTTTCGTGTATATATATAGATATCTAAATCAATAATTCTTTTTAATTAGTAAAAGAATGAATTAATGACAACCCAGCGACTTTCTAATAGAGAAGAACTAAACCAAATTAGAAATTGGAATAATTCGACTCAAAATGTTAGATGAAATTCCCCAATAAAAGTTCATATGTTCTGAGGAATTTTTAACTTTATAAGCTTTAAAAACCTGCATGTTAGTTGGTTACACTACTAGCTGCAATTCCTAACCCAAGTTCCCATTGCCATATTTCATAACATATCGGTTACATTACTATTTACTGGGAGAATGAAATCTTTGGGAGCTCTTGCCTACCATTTCATCCCAATTGAGTCCAAGTACTTGATTGGATTTTGGATTATCTATTTCTACCCACCTTTCTGGTGTAGAACTTAACAAATAATATTGCTATATTTTGATTTTTTTTTTTAATTTTGAGGGACTGGTATTTGAATCAGGTTTCTTGCAATAGGGGATATATGCACTTAACATTGAGTCAAATGCTTAATATAACACATATCTTGTTTGTTGTTCTACTGATAGTGAAAATGGAAATGCCTTCACCAGAATCATTGATGTCACTAGATTTTGGCAGTCAAAGTATCCAGTCAGTACTGTCTTTTGATCCATCAATGCTAAATCAGACAACTGGCATTCAGTTTACTGGACAACAACATGATCAACATGCAACATCTGGTGTGATGGCAGATATGAATCAAGCAAACGTGCACTTAGGGCAGCAAGGTTCAGATATATCCTTAACTAGTAGGTCCAAAATAAATGATCCTAAAGTTTTGACAGATGACAAGGTTACAAGGAAAAGACAGAGGGATAGAGATTACAGAGAAAGACGCAGGGTGAAATATTATTCCCTTTTGTTATCTTTTGTTCAGTTCTTATGTCATGTCTCTTTTAAAATCTTTAATTTCTCACTTACAGAAAGAGAGGATGGAAACGAAGGACAATCTAGAGGCACTTGGCGAAGAAAATGAACATTTGGAGAAGGAGAATGAATCTTTAAAACGGGAAAATGCTTTGATGAATCAAACTTTAGAATCCCAAGCAGAAGAGATTAAACAACTTAGAAATGATCTCAATAATATGAAGTTTGAGCATGGGAAGCAAAATATTCTGGTACAGATACTTTCATCAGAACTTCTAGTAAGTGCCTCTCTCTGCCGCAGTTGTTCTCTGAAGTCTTTTGTTTCCCCTCTTTTTTCCTTAATGAGATATATCTTACTTATTTGTTTAATATAGGCTGTAGTATTATGCAGATTCATATTGAGGGAAAGAGATATTTGCTTTTTCTTGATTTCTCAGGGCTAGCTAACTGAAATGGTTCGATCTGTTTATAATTAGCTTTTTTTTTCTGTGAATATGGTGCATTTTATTAATCACCAATCACATATTACAATGCGAGATGTTAACAAACTTACATTTCTGTGAATTTGGCCTCCTCTCTTTAGGAATTTTTAGTAATGATATGGTAAATTTGATGGCTGTTGCTCTTAGATTCAATCAAAATAATTTTATTTTCTTTCCTTTCAAAAAAAATTACCTGTTTCCTATGCTTTTTTTGGTACCTTATTATGAGTTTGTTTTTTCAATTAATTAAACATGCATGTTGGCATTAATTATTATGTCAAACTACTTCTTTTTATGTAGACAAAGAAAATGCAATTAAAAAGAAGTTCAACTAGTTACCATATATGTTGTTGTGCACATTAAATCAATTGTAAATTACAAGGATTTTTTTTTTTCCTACCAAGCATTTCTTTTTTAAACCTCAATCCTTTTAAAACCTTGTGTAACTTCTATTCTTTATCTTTTGAAAGAATTTATTTGTTAGACTAATTTTATTCAATATTTTATGTAAACAATAAGTTTCTTTTACTCCTGAAAAGATATTTATATTTTTTTATGACTGAAATTATCATTTAATTTACCTTTAATACTCGTTTAATTAGATTTTCTTTTATTAATTTATCTTTTATCTTGGTTTTGTCAAAACAAAATTCTTCGCTTCACTCCCACCTTTATTTCTCAAGGTCAACGCTAGTAGCGACTTGAGTTCGGAAGTTTGCATAAACTTGTTTTGCTTGTATACTTTTAAATTTTGACTGTAGCTTTTTTTTTATAAAAAAATAAAAATTTTCAAAATAATAATAATAACAAATTATTATTTACAAGTACATGCGTATCCTCATCATCTTTTAATTTCTTTGTAGGCCAATCCTGAACTTCAACTTGAAAATCAACGCCTCAAAGATGAAAATGTTAGACTGAGGAATAAAGTCGACGTTAATGATTACTCATCACAGCTTATAAAGGAGAATGGAAGCCTGCGAATTGAAAATATGGTACTCAGGGTGCAAAATGATGCTCTATGTGAGAAGATTGCCAATGATAATGGTTAGAACAAGGAAAATTGAAGTTTGACTTTCTTCTATTGAATTCTTTTTGATAATGCATTTATTACTTTATATAGTTGTATATAATAAATATGAATTTGTTATACATTTTGAAAGAACTCTCCTCATATTTACAACGTGTTTTTTTTTTTTTTAAGAATTACTTCTTGCTTTAGCCTGGGACTATCTAATGGCATGAAGTACAATTTCCAAATAAATAGAAACTTGAAAGAGTCACGACTCTTGTTACCATCCAAAATACAGAAATAAATCATGTAGAAGAATATAGAGATGGATTGGTAGAACTAGTACTCAACAGACCACCACGAATACCTCCAAGACATTCTTTTGATTTAGGGAACAGCACAGCCTCTATTAGAAGCTTTTTTTTTTTTTTGGGTAAATATGGTAAATCAACAAACAAATTCAAATGATTTTGATGACCAACAGATTAACAAAATGGTTTGGAAGAAACCTAAAAAACTTTATTATCCGAAAATCACAGCACCTAATTTAAATACCTAATTTAAATATAAAAGAGAAACTAATGTTTCAAAATAGATACAATGCCAACACAATTTATGAATGGAACATTGATGGAATGTCTGAATATAACATTCTTAGTACACTCCAACAAATGACAATAGTGTCCAATGTATATAAAACTTAAAACCAAACAAGTCAAATTACGGACCATTCAATAGCAAATCTTTTAGTTGCTAGATTTAATGGATAGCTAAAACGCTGGTGGGATAATTATCTCATCACAAATCAACAACAAGAAATATTAAAAGCAATAAAAAAAGAAAATAAAGGTAACAATATCCTAGACGAACAAGGAAGAGAAATTCAAGATGTTATTGTAGCTTTCATCTTTTCAATATCAAAACATTTCATAGGAGATCCTTCTCATCTTAAAGATAGAAACTCAAAACTATTATCAAATCTAAAATACAAAAAATTAACAGACTTCAAATGGTACAAAGATATATTTATGACAAGAGTAATGCAAAGATCTAATAACCAATAACCTTTTTGGAAGGAAAAATTTCTAGCAGGACTTCTCACATTATCAGGAGAAAAGGTCAGAAATCAAATAAGAGAAACTTATAAAGGAATAGTTCCTTATGAAAATCTTGCATATGGTGAGCTCATAAGTTTCACCCAGAAAGAATGTTTAAAAACTCATTTGATTTTGAATTTCTCTTAAGAATCAATTCGATTTTGAATTTCTTTTAAGAATTGATTTTGTTGTTCTTGGCGGAATTTTTTCGAAATTTCAAAAGGTTTGAAAATTGGTTCTTTAGCTTTTTCAATATTTGTTGGTAAATTTTGTATGGATTTGGGTTGATTTTCTACCAAAGTTTCTAGATTTTCCAATTGTCTTGAAATAGTGTGGAGATTTAGATTTGTATAATTGTTTTGTTCAACTATCAGTTTTATGTCCCTAGATGAAACGATTTCTCCTAGATCAAAAGATCTCATTCGTAATGGGGTTGCTTTTATTCTTGCATTTTTATGTGAATATTGAACTTTTGCTAAAAGAGGATGTTGAGATTTAACTTCTTCTCTAGTAGTTTGCCATTTAGTTACATTTTTTGTGATGTTTATTGATTTTAAATAGTGTTCTTCAAACTATTCGAAGAATTCTATTACAATTTTATGTTTGTTCATAAAACTGTAATATTCTTGTAAGATTTCCTCCTTTTCATTTTTGTAAGTTTTGAAATAAATTTTTCTTTTTTGTTGGTTTTTGTTGTTGTAGAAATCTTTCCTACACTATTCTTTATCAATCATACATTCTTTTTCTAATATAAATATTTCAGAATTTTCTCTATCATTTGTGTTTATATTTTAATTATTAGTCATTGAAGAATATGTTAGAGGCATATTGTAAGAGTTTGTTGGACTAATTTCTTGTTTGTTATGTGCAAGTTGAGGTATATTTGAAGAAGTATCTATTTCTTGTAAGTTTGTCCTAATAGTGGAGGGTATTGAAGAAGCAGAGGCTCTAGTTGTCCTGAAATCTGTTCCTTGAGTAGTTGTAGATGAATTTTCTCCTAAAATTATATATATAAATATATATATATATATATGTATATGGGGAAGGTTGATTAAATCACTGTTGAAAATAGTATAAAGATTTCTTTTGAAGCCATCACCTCCAACCACAATTTCCTTCTCTGCCTTGCTTTTATTAATATCCAAATTCACAATACATTCAAAATTCTATGGAGTATCAATATCTTTGTTAATACTATTGACATCATCAACGTAAACAAGCTGCCATTGACTTCTGCACTGTAAGCTTGTTTGAAATTAGAATACTTGTGTCAAAACATACATAGCTTACACTTCGAAAAGTACAGCTTTGAGTCAAAACACAAGGAATCTAAGGGTTATCATCTAAATATAAGAAAAAAGCACTTAACTGTGAACTCATACATTAAGAAAAGGTTATAAAGTTTTATAATATACAAAAAGACACCAATAAAGAACACAAAGTCAAGTACTATTACAAGAATTACCAAATTGCGTACATGATGCAGCAACTTATTGCAAACTTAGATTAAAGGTTTGAAGCTACATGGCAAACATTGACAATATGGTTTGCAGCAGAGTAAGCACAGGGAATAAAATTGTAGAGATTACAGAAGCATTTCTCCAAGATGTGCTGAAATCTTATGCCTTAATGTTGCTTTCCTGTTGTGCCAAGGCTGCTCCTGGTTTGCATTCAGCTCTACACACATGTAAGAGAGTATTGTCGGTCACTGAGTCTTTTGATAATGTTTGTGCAAAGCTTGTCAAACAAAGAGGCCACTCCACCGTCACCAAGCCATTGCTTGATTGTTTCCCTTTCCTCAGGTAAATTTGCATCTTTGCTAATGTGGAATGAGGTGATCCATTACTGCGATATAGTCACATATGAACCCTTTATGTGGAGAGTGATTGTCGGGCACGTGACCTTATGGGTACAACCTGTTCAAATAGCTTAAAAAATGAAGCCTGAGAGAAAACCTTTTAGTAAGAGAAAATTTGCATTCGGACCAGGGTAAAGAAAAAATCAAAAATGGAAAATCATGCGGAACACGATTTTCTCTTCGTTCATTTCATTTTGTAGTGTCGATTTCATGAGAGAGAGAATGACCAAGTATTAAACAAGGAACAAGGAATAACAGCTTGGTGAGCATTTCCAGGGTTGGTATCTTTGTACAGGAAATCCAAGAAGGCCACTACACGTATGCTACCATAGCATTATTGTCATTAAAAGGAAATCATAAGGAAAAATAAAGAAACATTTAAACTTTAAAAAGAGGAATAAGACAATAGGTAGGTCACGCGGTAGGAGGCATGTGACTTCATCTTTATCATTTAAAGTTTGTTTTTGACGCATGGACTTCATTGTTAGGCCGTCTTTAAACTCAATGCAAAGATTGAAGCCGTTCTCAACGCACATCCTTGATTTCTATCTTACAAAAGCCCAAATTTGATCTCAGATAAGTAAAATTTTCTTTACTTAAGCCCAAGGTAAGGATGTCTGCAAGTTATTCATTTGTGTTGTAGTGTTTCACTACAATTTCCTCGTTCTTCACTATTTTTTCAATGGAGTGAAATTTGACTTAAATATGCTTTGTTCTTTCATGTTGCACAGGATTCTTAGTAATGGGTGTAGCTAATAGATTATCAAGCCACAATACAATTCCTTCTTTCTATTTAAACCCCAAAACACCAAGAGTTTTCCTTAGCCACAAAACATGATTCGAAGCAGAAACAGGCAATGTACTTTGCCTCGATAGAAGATTAGGCTAACATTCCCTGTTTTGTGAAGTTCTATGGGAAAGTTACCGTTCCAAATGAGAAACAAAACCCGCTTGTGTTCTTTGAATCATCAAGGCATTTTGCCCAATCGCTATCACAGTAGCCAACCAATTCTTGACTTTCATTCTTACTAAATTTAAGGCCATAGCTAATGGTTCCTTTGATGTACTTAAGTACCTTTTTGGCAGCAAAGAAGTGAATCTCAAATAGTGCTTGCATATATCTCGATAACACACTTGCAAAATACATAATATCAAGCGTAGAAGCTGTTAAATATAGCAAACTCCCAATTAAGCTTTTGTAAGTTGTGCTTATAGCAGCAAGAGCTTGATCATTTCAATAGATTTTTGAATTTGAGACCAATGGTGTATCAACCATTTTACAGGCTTCCATATTAAACCTTTTCAATAGCTCCTTACCATGATGAATATAAATAAACTTAGGAGATTGTATAAATTCCATACTAAGAAAATAACTCATCTCTCCCAAATCTATCATATAGAATTCAAGTTTCATTTGCATCTTGAAATCGTTTAAAACATAAATGTCTAGCCCTGTCAAAAGGTCATTGACATACAGCAAGACTATAAGAGTTATAGAGCCATTAATGTCTTTCACATACAAAATGGGTTCATTTATATTGCGTATGAAACCTTTACGCCCTTGATAATTGTCAATTCTCTCATACTAGGCCCTTAGAGCTTGTTTGAACTTGCAAAAGATCTTTAACAAGCTTGCAAACTTTGTCTTCCTTCCTCATCTACACAAAGCCTTCAGGTTGCTCAACATATATATCTTCAATGATGACACCATTTAGGAATGCAAATTTGACATAAAGGTGCCAAATTTTCCAGCTTTCCTTAGTAGCTAGTGTTGTTAAGAGTTTATAGTATCATGGCTTGTTACTGGGGCAAATGTCTCAAAGAATCAACCCCATAAACTTGCAAATTTCCTTTGGCCACTAGCCTAGTTTTTTGTTTGTTTACTAATCCATTTGCATTGAGTTTGGTTCTATAAGCCCACTTGACACCAATAACCTTTTAATTAGCAAGCTTGTCAACCAATAACCCGGTACCATTCTTCTTGATCATTTCCAGCTCTGTGTTCATTGCTTTCTTCCATTCATCATTCTCATTAGCCTTAGTATAAGTTGTAGGCTCAACAATGGCAGCATTACATCTGTTGTATATATCTTGTGGTGTTCTCATTCCTTTGACAACTAAATTCTAATCTTCTTCATCATCTAATTGATTATCTTAATGTAGGAAAACATCACAAACAAGGTTTAGTTGTTTGAATTTTCAATAATGTTCTTCTCCTAATTCCATCTAAGAT